TGTCTCTGTCACACAGGCAGTCCAACTTTGACACTTAAGTCTTTTGCACTTTCACCAAATGACTGTGATTTAAACAAGATTGTGTGTAGTGGTACAGGAAAACTAACCTTTATGGATAGTCAGGCCAAATATTTTAATCATTTTGCAAATTGGCTGAAAGACAAAACTAGTATATATGTCTCAACTCACTAGAGACACGTTTTCAAACTCAAAGATATTTAAATACTAGAATGGTCATCTAATCTGGTAATTCACTTAATTGTCCTATTCTCGATTATGACATTTTGACTGAGTGTGGATTTGCATGGTGGGTGGTACATGTATAACAGGAGATGTTTACCCTGTCGACACACAACATCTTGCTCCATTTGAGTTAATAAGATTCACCAAATGTTTCCTTTGACATATCTTTTTAATCAATTTATGGGGTTTTAACATCATTAAATATAAATAAAAACTTTGTTGTTTTTCGTTTTTTTGCCATGGCATTGTCAGTTTGTTTTCAACTTACCAGTTTGAATGTTTCTTTGGTATCTTTCACCTCTCTTTTAAATACCTTAATACAAAACATGTATCTAGATACAAGAAGGACAGAGGACAGACCAGAAAAAACATAATGCCCCATACTATCGCTGACAGAGCATAAAAAAACAAAATAAAAACAACACAAATAATTTCAAATGTATAATCTCTTTTATCACATGGTAAAACATTCCAAAATCAATGCTGATGTAGACATAGAATATATCACAAAAAAACATCTTACTTACATCATATAATATATCACAAAACATAACTTACTTCACATAACACATTCAAAAGATCATTTTAAAAATAAAATCATTATTCTGAATATATTATTTTGATCTAAAATCTTTGTTTTTCTTAAATATGCAAATATGACACTTACTATTGCAAATTACTATTGGTGTTTCTATGTATTCATTAAAAATGGGTTTATAAGGAAATCATTATTGTTAGTGGCTTAGATAGATTATAAGTTTTGTTGTCAGTATAATCCACAAGAAATATTTCACATACCAGGACAAGTGAATGTGTCCACAAAACAAAGATTCAACTGAATGTAAGGAATCTTGCAACTTTGATTAACAATCTGAATATGCAGCATTTATTTATCTAAAATACTGAAAAGTTCTATACGTGGTTGCATGATGAAGGGGCTGTGTGTTCCCTCAATACAGGCTGTCTGATGAGAACCTCACTACTCTCCACAAAAACAATAACAATTGATGCAAATATAAAATTGGCAAGATATTTTATGGAATGAGTCATTACATATTGTCAAAACATATACCAGTTTAAAAAACAGACATAAAATACACATCAAAACAAAATAAAATGTTGTAAGCAATGAACAAAACTTTCAAATGTTCATAGGCAAAAAAAATAAACACCAACAGTTTTCTTTTAAACATTTCATGCAAGGGGAAACTGTGTTAATGTAAACTTGTTTCTCTAAAAACACAAAATTAAACGTAATTTAAACTTTAAGTTAAAAATAATTTCCCAATAGTTTTGTTATTTTATCATTTGGTATTCAGAACCACATATTTTTTTCTTGTTATTTCTTATCAAAACAGTTTTTTTCAATATCCATACATCTGTACCAAATAAATATTAAGGGAAAACTTTCAATTAATAGAAAACCTGCAAATGCTGTTTTTCTTAAGTGAAATAAATAATTTCGTTATTCCCTTATAATCTATAAGGGAATACTTGCATATCTTACAACAAAAGTAACACTAAATATAAAAAGAAGTGAAAAATATAACAAACGAAAATGCTTAACCTAACAAAGAAAAATACAAGTTGTTAACAAGTGAAAACTTTGCAAACATGTACATAGAATAGTGTTATCTCTGGGTATGCACAATAAATACAGTTTTGTCTCTGGGTATGTATGTTAAATACAATGTACTATCTAAGCATACTAAACAGTGTAAACTCTGCAACAATCTATACTTAGCACAGTGTACTATCAACATCCAAGTTTCATGGGACTAAGTATGATATATGTGGCGTAATTACTTGGAATATTTATGTAAAACGAGTAACCTTTGGGACTTTGTATGTTAAATATTTCAGTGTATTTTTTTGGGACTATGTTTGTAGAAAGGTTAACTCTGGGACTTTGTATGTTAAATATAAGTGCAACTTCTGGGACCAAGTATGTGAAAATTGTAAACACTGGTACTTTGTATATAAAATACTACAGTGTAATTTCTAAGACTAAATATGTTTAAAGGGAAAACTCTGGGACTATGTATATTAAACATTACAATGTAATTTCTAGGACTATGTAAGTGAAAAGTGTAAACTCTGGGACTATGTTTATTAAATATTACAATGTAATTTCTAGGATTATGTAAGTGAAAAGTGTAAACTCTTGGACTATGTATGTGAAATACAGTAGAGCTGTTTAAAATATTCAAAAAAACCCTAAAACTGAAAAGTTGATGACAAAAACATGTTTATTATCATTTGGAAACATATTTTCATGATTACCTGACCTATTATAAGATTTCCAAGCAGTGATATCCTTCATCTTATAAAACATTAGTTTAATTTTTTTAAATTGCAGTGAATAGTTCTTGGTGAAAGGTAAAAGATAAAAAAAAAAGGAAAAGATGACATGATTGTGTCTCAGAAAAAATCTATGGTAATTTGTGACACAGATATTCCATACTGGTTACCATTCCATACTGGTTACCAAATCATGATTGATCTGTGAACTTTTGAAGGGATGACTTCCATCTTTACCTTTTTGAACCATCAGTTCAATAGCTTCCTTCTAAGCAGCTACCCTCTAACAAAGATGTCATGATAAGAAACACAGACACCAGAAATTGGTACAACTTTTCCATTGTGGATAAGAGGTACTTACAGGATTTTCATATCTATAAATATTGTATATCTGGAGAGGACTTTTTATGCATAAAATATTAAATAATAATATACAATAAGAAATGGTAGCTCTTATATCTATAACACTGAATGTTGATAATTAATAAATTATTCCAAGCTTTAAATATTTGTCTGTGCAGTATAATTCAAGACAATTTTTTGAAGTCATAAATGTTGGATGACTTATAAATCCTGTTGGGGTCAATAAAAGATGTTTGCCGTTGTTCTTTTACTCATGTTGAAGAAAAATATTTATATTGAGCATGGTAAATGTTGAAAAGCAGTAAAAGATGTTTGATTCTCGTATTTTCAAATTTCCCTTTATAAATAAATCCCTTCTGGTTTTCTTTTAGATAATATCTCAAATACACAGATATGGTCAACCATTTTGAAATATTTGACATTTCAATACAGTTTATGTTATATCTAGGGGTACCTTTCATATGAAAAGTCCAGAGATATCATTTGCCTGCCTTCTAATGTTTTAACTGCTTGCATCTCAAAAGCAAGCCACGGATAATCTTTATTTCTCATACATGTGCTTTATATTTTTTTTTAATGACACCATATACAAACTAGAGGCTCTCAAGAGCCTGTGTCGCTCACCTGTATTTACTGATGCTTTGGAAATCATGTAAAACAAGTTAAAATCATAATTAATAGTATTAGATATTAGATATTATAATGATATCTAAGATAATAACAAAAACCTTCAAAATTTTTGTAAAATTACTAACTCAGGGGCAGCAACCCAACAACGGTTTGTCGGATTCGTCTGAAAATTTCCAGGGCAGATAAATCTAAATCTGATGAACATTTTTGCCACCTGTCAGATTTGCTCTAAATGCTTTAGTTTCAGAGATATAAACCAAAAACTGCATTTTACCCCTATGTTCTATTTTTAACCAAGTCGGCCATGATGGTTAGAAGGCGGGGTCATCGGACAAATTTTTTAAACTAGATACCCTTATAATGATTATGGCCAAGTATGGTAAAATTTGTCTCAGTAGTTTCAGAAAAGAAGATTTTTGTAAAAGATTACAAAAATTTACAAAAAATTGTTAAAAATTGACTATTAAGGGCAATAACTCCTAAAGGTGTCGACTGACAATTTTGGTCATGACAACTTATTTGTAGATCTTACTTTGCTGAACATTATTGCTGTTTACAGTTTATCTCTATCTATAATAATATTCAAGATAATAACCAAAAACTGCAAAATTTCCTTAAAATTACCAATTCAGGGGCAGCAACCCAACAACAGGTTGTCAGATTTGTCTGAAAATTTCAGGGCAGATAGATCTTGACCTGATAATCAGTTTTACCCTATGTCAGATTTACTCTAAATGCTTTGGTTTCAGAGATATAAGCCAAAATCTACATTTTACCCCTATGTTCTTTTTTTAGCCATGGCGGCCATCTTGGTTGGTTGGCCGGGTCATCGGACACATTTTTTAAACTAGATACCCTAATGATGATTGTGGCCAAGTTTGGTTAAATTTGGCCCAGTGGTTTCAGAGGAGAAGATTTTTGTAAAAAGCTAACGACGACGGACGATGACGACGACAACGACGGACGCCAAGTGATGAGAAAAGCTCACTTGGCCCTTTGAGCCAGGTGAGCTAAAAATTGATGTTATTTAAATTTCAGCACAATTTCTACATGCCTGAAAGTAAGTTCAGTTCTCCCTCTAAAGAAGATTTAGGTATAAATGCATTTAACTGAAATTAAACTAGTCTAAGATTATACCAACTATTTTTCATCAAATTGTAGGATAAATATGAGCATCTATGAAAAAATAGCTGGTTGTTGACACCTGGCATTTTATGCCAATCTTGCAAGTGGGATAAATATGGCATACTGTGGATTCATTTATTTTCGTGGGTATCAATTTTCGTTGATTGCTGAAAACTTTCATATTCGTGGATATTTGATTTCGTGGTTGGGCCAATCTCTGTATACAAAGTCTATTGAAAATATGTTATTCTTTGAACATTTGAATTCGTGGTTCACCTGTATCCACGAAAACCACGAAAATTGGTATCCAACGAATAATAATGAATCCACAGTAATACTGATACAAACTCAGTTTTCTTTAACTTATTTAAACAGACATATATACAATATTTTTACACTGAAGGAAAAAATATAAAATTTATTTGTACGAGCTTTAGAAACAGAGAGAAAAGACTCACTGAGCTTTCTCCTGTTTCATATTGAGTACAAATACATTTTATATTTTCCTACAATGTCCGTTTTAAAAAAAAGTGTTCTTTTTTAATTATTTAACCTGGCCAACTCTCTGATATTCATTACGAATACTCACTTTCAATAATTTGTTAATTGAGTTCACATTGTTCCAAAGTAATAAAAAACTTAAAATAGGTCAACATACACTAAACTATAATTGAACCTGAATGAAATAGACATGTACAGTGAAAGTTAGTACCTGTGCAATTGAAGAAAATGAATAAACTAAAAAAAGTGTAATAAAAATTGCTATTAAATGCATTAAAACAAGACCACATTTAACAAAACATTTGTCATAAACTGATATGTGAATCATAAAAACCATATTCACACCTCAAAAACTCTTTTTTCCATCATTTACAGAAATCCACTATCTTCAACAACTCACACTAACTTTTTAAGTACAAATTATTGCACTTTATACATATTAGAAATTGTGTTTGTGTCAGGAAAAATCTGATATAAAGAAAGAATAAACAATATTTGATCACATGTAGTTATTATGATGGATTTAATAATTGTTTCTAAGATTCTTTTAAATATAAATAATGCTAACATTCTGTGCTAATCATAATTGTTAATAATAAAATTTCTAATACAAACTACTTGGAATCATTTAAAATATCACCGGCATGATAAAATATTCCAATCTTATTTCCTCAGATATGAAATTCAAAACATAAAACAATAATAAAAAGGATTAAAAATAACACAGAATCAGAAAGTATTTTTTGTGCACAAAATGAGATTCCTAAATTTTCAACAACATCAAAGGCTTTTTTGCTTTGTAAGTTTTTTATCATCTTTCAAGTCTTTTAATTCAACTGATTCATCTTCTGGAATTTTATTTGACATTGCTTGTGTATATGAGGCCTTTCTTCCAGCATGTTCCTCGTCCACATTCAGGCCATTACTATCTGCCAAATCTAATTTCCTATCCTCGGGTTTAGACTTTACAGATCTTAATTCAGCAGATCTTGAATCAGAATCAGACTTTATTGAACTATGAGATTCAGCTCCTGAAATATCCGAGAACTCTCCTGAGCTACGGGACTGATCAAGAGATTTAGATTTGTGCATAGGTTTTTTCTTTCGTTTTTTAGAAAAAACTTCTGATTTAACATCAAATTTGACTTTAGTTGGACTTTTTGTTTCTGAAGTAGGGTCCGTTTGTGATCGTTTTACATGGGAAGAATCCTCCTTATCTTCTTCACATAATGTTTTTGACTTTCTCAATCTAAATCGTCTTTTCTTTGCCACTGAATCAGAAGAGGCTGAACTTTTGGATGTATCTAATTCTTCACTATCTTCTCCTTCATGTTCCTGTATAGCATTGATACTTCTCCCTGATGCTCCTGATATTCTGGACGGAGATTTCCCAGCATTCTGGTTGATAAGAGGTGTAACTTCTGGCTCAAAATTAAGTGTAGCAGCTTTTTTGAAACCCTTTCTTTTCCTTCTTGGTGACGATGTATCTGGGTCTTTAGATGCATCACCATAGCCTCTAAATAAATTATGATCTGGCTTGACACCAGTGAAATCTGAAGGACTACGATCTCGTTGAAATTTTGGACGATCAGGGACAGCCAAACTTAGTCTACGTTTGTAATTTTGAGCTGCTGCATTTGCAGCTACAATACTAACCCTTCTTGGTTGGAAAGAAACATTTGTTTGTGATCCCATAGGTGTTGAGGTTCCTCCACCTAAGACTGCACGAGACATTCGCCGTGTCCTGAGTTGTTTTTCTTGCAGATATTTCAACAAGTCTGCACTACTGTCATTCTTCAAATTCTTATCTAACTTTTTATGCACCAGCTAAAAGAGAAATTAAAATTGAAACAGAATGGACACATTTATTAACAGTATTTAGTTGTTCGGATATTCAAATGCAATTTATAAATCTCATTTGATAAAAGATAGTGTATATGAAGGACATTGTTATGCATGTCCTAAGGCTAGGATTTAACTAGTGGATATACTTTCATTTGTTTTAGAATTTTTTTTTTTCATTTGCCTCTATTTTTCCATCATTATTCTCATTGGTTGGTTGAATTGTCTGTTTTCTAACCCGTTTTCTTTTCTTGTTATATTACTCTTAATCTGTTGTTTTTTATTGGCTATTTTGTTGTATTTTCATTCCTTCTTCCCTTTCTACTTTGTTGTGTTTTATGATCTTGTTGTAATACACCTTCTACTCTTATGTATTTTATAAGTTTTCTTTGAACTATTTAATTTCTTATTTGTTATGTTTTTAAGTTTTTTTTATGTTGTTCCCTTTCTCTTTTGTTGTGTTTTATTGTCTTGATGTAATTCACCTTCTTCTCTTATGTGTTTTGTAAGTAAATGTTATTCTTTTTTAAACTTTTTTCTTTCTTCTTTGATGAATTTAAAAATTTATTTACTTCATGCTTTAGATGTGTTTTAATAGTTTGTCACAAAATTATAACAGATAATCTTAGTATTTCAAATCTTAATTTTGTCTACTTTTTTCAAGTAACAATTAAAGTTTGTTACCAACAACATAATCTTAAAGGCATAATTTGTAAACAGAATCATACTTACATCTCTCCTGGAAGGAGCCATTAATTTACGGACATCTTTGGCAGTAGGTTCCATATCTTTTTGATGTTCTTTCTTTTTGAACTGTGGAAATAATGACTTTCTTCGTCCTACCTTCTCTAAATTCTTTCTATCTTCTGTAATTCAGGGACATTTGTATATCAATTATTTTTACCACGTGTTAGATTGTGGTTTGTCATTACGTCGTCTGATCTTTTAATTACCGAACGTGACTTATTCCTGATTGTGACTGTTTTGCTGAGTGTGAAACCGCATTGCTATAAGACGTGTCATGGTACCTTTCTATCCCAAATTCATGTATTTAATTTTGATGTTATATTTGTTGTTCTCGTCGGATTTTGTCAAATGTCTTAACGTATTTTCTGTTATATTCGTGTGTTATGGTATAGATAATTAATCACCCCCTTCATTTATTAGATTTTAGTTTGGTTCAACGAAATTTATACGATATATTTGGTTTACAGTTTGATTCAGAAGAAACACCGACATAGCTAGATAATACAATTAATTATCTAATTACTACCACAATTTGATATTAATAAGTATTGTAATTTTCATTGTTATTAATAAATGTATTGGCAGTATTACAAATCTATCTTGAATCAATCCTAATCCTATCTTATTTTTGGGAAATATTTTTACAAATTCATATGTGACGTCACTTTGTGTGTGTTTTTTTTAGAATTTCAAATGTGACGTCACTTTGTGCGTTGAGGCTTTAGCTAACTCGGCTGTGTATTTTTATATGTTGGATTAAGTTGTTTTATGTAATGTATCCGTTTTTATTCTGTAGTTAGACCCCACTTTGGTTTTATCATGTATATCTATTATATAGTAATTTTATAATATTTACTGTTTGCAAAATTCTAAATAATAAGGATGTTCTTGTCCCAGGCAGAAAATCCTGGCCGTGTTAGGCGCAACTTTTTGGAAGTTTTGGTCCTCGGTGCTCTTCAGCTTTGTACTTGTTTTGCCTTTCAAACTTTTTGTATCTGAGCGTCACTGGTTAGTCTTGTGTGGACGAGACGCACGTCTGGCGTATTGAATTTTAAGCCTAGTACCTTCTGCTAGCTATTATTCGTGTGTTTCTTTGTCCTATATGTTCTCCCATTTATTTGTATTGTGGTCCTGTCACGTGATGTTGTCGTTTTGGTGTTGTGTTTGACGTTGCCATAAAAGCGGGAGGTTTGGCATGCCACAAAACCAGGTTCAACCCACCATTTTTTTCTTAAAATGTCCTGTACCAAGTCAGGAAAATGGTCATTGTTATATTATAGTTCGTTTCTGTGTGTGTTACATTTTAATGTTGTGTTTTTGTTGTGTCGTTGTTCTCCTCTTATATTTGATGCGTTTCCCTCAGTTTTAGTTTGTAACCCGGATTTGTTTTTATCTCTATCGATTTATGAGTTTCGAACAGCAGTATACTACTGTTGCCTTTATTTATCATTAACATCATAATACTTTTTTCTATCATAATATTAGTAATCCTATGATAAAGTGTAGAAACCACTCCTGAAGTTTTCCTACGTAACAAAAATGTCCTCCACTGAGATGTCATCAACTTTTGTAATTACTTGAGCAAACATTTTGAAATCAACTGTCCAATTCTTTTAATGTAAATCAAATGGCTAATTCTTATAATGTAAATCAACTGGCCAATTCTTTTAATGTAAATCAACTGGCCAATTCTTATAATGTAAATCAACTGGCCAATTCTTATAATGTAAATCAACTGGCCAATTCTTATAATGTAAATCAATTGTCCAATTCTTATGATGCAAGTACAAAAGTCACTGCAAAATAACAAACTTATTCAAAAATCTTAATTTTAATTATTTATTTTTGAAGATTTAGTAAAATGAGATGGATTAAACTAGACATTCATTTAACAGAGAAATGCCATTTGATATCCAAATTAACTTGGTCATGTAACATTTGATTCATAAACATATCAGCTTTACTATAAACATTACCATCTCTTTGTTCTGCTAACTTCCTGTCAATCCAGTCATCAAACATTTCTGGCTGCATTATGGGTAATACACTAGGCGATGGCATTGGTGACTGTGATGAGAATTCTGGTGGTGGCATGGGTAAAGGAGGCACTGGATGTGCAATTGATGGTGATCTAATTGTGATAGGTGGCAGCACTAAGTCTTCTTCACTTCCTTCGTCATCTTCTCCTACCTCATCCTCCTCTTCTTCTTCAATTCTGAAATTATCCATCATTTGAATTTAATAATATTTCAAAAAAGAACTATGAGTTTCTGTAATTATACTGATTACAATATGGATTTTTTTAATGTGATATATTTAATTGTTGGGTATTCCTGTTTCAAGTAATTTGTCCATAAGCTTGATCTCTTAATCTTTTTTTCTTCTAAAACATAGAAAAGTTTGCAAAACATATAATAAGTGTATTTTCAGGTTGATACTAATGCAAGTAACAATGGCAAAAAATAGTCAAAAGGTGCGCTAAGGGCCCTTTGCGGCATACAAAATGAACTATTACAAAATCAGGTAATTTAGGCTAAAAAGTGATTAAGTATACATGCAATATTAAAACTGAAAGATCTTTGAAATATTATATTTATTCAATATTTTTATTGTTATAAGATCACAAGATTTAATTTTTCTCCAATAAATGACAAAATTTGCATTTTTTGACACATATTTTTGAATTGGAATTATTGAGCACATGGAAGTTCAACAAAAATTATTTACATGAAAGGTGTTGTTCATATAAACAAACATTGTGGTAAATATTTAGTTGGTACTTGCATGTGTTCTATATTTGTGGTGCACAAAAACCATCTGAAAAATGACCAAAATCTATGGACTTTTTTTATAAAACATGTAGAAGGACCTATTTCAAGAAGTTACTATATTTATTGTGACCTCATGAATGGAAAACTATTCCTTGCTAATAAATTTAAAGTTCAAGATTCAGTAAAAAAAATAGGCCAAAATGATCATTATCTCACCCTGTTCTTTATCTATGTATACTTACATTTGATTTGTAATTTCCTCTGGAATAAGAGGCAAATTGTCTTCACTTACATACTTTTCCTGTACCATTCTACTTCCTGCTAAACTCTCAAAGTGTTGTCTGAAAACAAATGTTGTGATAAAGCCATACTGACATAAACATAAGATATAAACTTTAAACAAACTTTTAAATATGAAATACAGATACATAAATATTATGGGGGAAAACTATGGAAGAAAATTTCTATAACACTAAAAGAATATTTCTATGACATAAATTGAATAAACAATCTTAAAACTTCAATTTATTTTAATTTTCTGGGGAATTGTTGACACATTCAGCTACTGTAAATTCAGAAATTATTGCGTGCATTTATTATTGCGATTTATGAAGAATGGACAATAATGCGAGATTAATTATTGCGATTTCAGGAAATTCTGCATACAGATGCATATATCAGATATCAGAATGCGAGTTCTAGTTATTGCGATACTAACCCAGTTGCACTATTCGCATTAATAAAAACCTCGCAATAATTTATGAATTTACAGTATTAACTTGGTAATCAAATAAGACTACTATCAACCTGAACCTCTAAACAATTACCCAGGTACTCAAATAACCCAGCTATCAACCTGAACCTCTAAACAATTACCCAGGTACTCAAATAACACAGCTATCAACCTGAACCTCTAAACAATTACCCAGGTACTCAAATAACCCAGCTATCAACCTGAACCTCTAAACAATTACCCAGGTACTCATATAACACAGTTATCAACCTGAACCTCTAAACAATTACCCAGGTACTCAAATAACACAGCTATCAACCTGAACCTCTAAACAATTACCCAGGTACTCAAATAACACAGCTATCAACCTGAACCTCTAAACAATTACCCAGGTACTCAAATAACACAGCTATCAACCTGAACCTCTAAACAATTACCCAGGTACTCAAATAACACTACTATCAACCTGAACCCCTTAAAGAATCACCCAGGTACTCAAATAACACAGCTATCAACCTGAACCTCTAAACAATTACCCAGGTACTCAAATAACACAGCTATCAACCTGAACCTTTAAACAATTACCCAGGTACTCAAATAACACTACTATCAACCTGAACCTCTAAACAATTACCCAGGTCCTCAAATAACACTACTATCAACCTGAACCTCTAAACAATTACCCAGGTACTCAAATAACACAGCTATCAACCTGAACCACTAAACAATTACCCAGGTACTCAAATAACACAGCTATCAACCTGAACCTCTAAACAATTACCCAGGTACTCCAATAACACAGCTATCATCCTGAACCTCTAAACAAATACCCAGGTACTCAAATAACACAGCTATCGACCTGAACCTCTAAACAATTACCAGGTACTCAAATAACACAGCTATCAACCTGAACCTCTTAACAATTACCCAGGTACTCAAATAACACTACTATCAACCTGAACCCCTTAACAATCACCCAGGTACTCAAATAACACAGCTATCAACCTGAACCTCTAAACAATTACCCAGGTACTCAAATAACACTACTATTAACCTGAACCTCTAAACAATTACCCAGGTACTCAAATAACACTACTATCAACCTTAACCTTTAAACAATTTCCCAGGTACTCAAATAACACTACTATTAACCTGAACCTCTAAACAATTACCCAGGTACTCAAATAACATTGCTATCAACCTGAACCTCTAAACAATTACCCAGGTACTCAAATAACATTGCTATCAACCTGAACCTCTAAACAATTACCCAGGTACTCAAATAACACAGCTATCAACCTGAACCTCTAAACAATTACCCAGGTACTCAAATAACACAGCTATCAACCTGGTTAATTGTTGTGTGATTTGAGTACCAGGGGTGAAAATTTGATTGGTTTACACCCGGGGGATGGTTATTATCTTATATGCAATGAAATGTTATGTGAAATTTTCAATGTAGTACTGAACAATAAAACTTTACTCATGCCAAGTATTTCTTTATTCGAAACAAAGATAAATTCTGCACAATTTTTTGAAAAATGCCAATTTAACAAAGACTAATAGGGGAAAATCAATGGTGGTATTATCATACAGTACTCAATATCATTTTATAATATCTACTTACTGCAGAGCTATTTTTTCATATAATGACATAATATGCTCATCTGTTGATGTTGGGTTTCTCTGTAACCAATTCTTTAGGTATTTACTATTGTAAAATTCCAAAATTTCCTACAATAAAATCAATGATGGAAGATATTGACTGTTATGCTCACAAATAATAGCAGTCATATTTAAAATCATTCAAGAATACCAATATAATTGTATAACATTTTTCCATTGAGCTACCATGACAAAAAGTATGTCCCTATTTTGTGACCTTAAAGATTTGATGTTTTTTTTTAAAAAGTACTAACAGGTATTCTCTGATTGAATTCTTTCAATATGTATGATTACATTCAAACTGAATTGATACAAAACATTGAAAAACAGACATGTCATACAACTTACTACCCACTTACTACCACTTCATTTTTTTATACTCTGGTGGATTGTTGTCTCATTGGCAATCATATTACGTATCATAATTTTTATATGTCAGCAAAGAACTTTCTTCTACATCTTTGTGCAAGGCACATGCATAAACAAATAAACAATACTGATACAAACAAAGCATTACATGTTCAATGGGTACCAAATATGATGCCAGAAATTAAAATCTGAATATGTTCTTAACTGTTGTAAGGTTCATGTTATCATCTTACAATTCAGATTTTAGTTACTACTGCCATGTTTGATGAGGTTTTTACCTCAATATTCCTAGAAATCTTCTTTGCAATATATTTGACAATTCATCAAAGTTTTGTTCCAATGCCAAGAAAGATTCCTAAGATATCATCCAGATACACTTTTCCTGCATAAATTTCATGCCTTTCATGCACCAAAACCATTGATAAAGGTTTGTGTTGATATTTGGTATGAATTTGAGTATGAAAATTTCTGGACCCTTGTACATGCATTGCAATACATATATTCCTTTTTTTTAGAACAATTTGATTTGGCAATTGTTTGAGAATTATCAGACTGTGACAATATAAAAAAAAAAAGAAATGCAACAATGAGTGCGTTTTACAGAAAGCTCTCATACTTTGTAGGATTGTTTGCCATCATGTGTAGTTGACCATATTGCAGTGCCATTTTGATTTGATCATCTGCACTGATTTGGGTCTATTGTTCTATCTTTGGTCTTGACCTGTAACATATTGACCTCAAAATTAATATCCGTCTTCCTACCATTATATTTGACCATATATCCAAATCTGATTTCAATCTGACTCATGGAAGAATAGGTAAAACTATTATACCCCTGGTACTTGATAGCCTTAGTACAGTTATGTCTGGTTATTGTACAAAGATATACTACCTACCCTAAAATGATGTTCTCCTCTTCGTCCTAACACTTCTTCTATACCAGCCATCACATGATCTGTTACCTATATTTCATAAAATAGAAATCATATTTTTCCATATTAGATAAATATACAAATCTTTTCATAACATGACAATACAAAACATACTGTGACCTAACTTGCCTCCTCAAATAATCCTCTCTCATCTTCTTACTTAGTATCCTCAACAGTAATTCTAATATCCATTAAATTACTGAGAAAACTATACTATTTCAATTTTTTTATACTTGATAACAAAATTTAAGAGTTAGAATTTTTTTTTGAAACAAAGCACTGTGCTGACAGAACATTTATATTTTCTCTAATGATTAGAGAACACACAATTGTCTAAGTTTAGGGGGAGGGTTAGGTGTCTGCAACATGTTTAACTACCACACATCCAAATGTGCCTGTCCCAAGTCGGAAGCCTGTAATTCAGTGGTTGTCCTTTGTTGCTGCATATCATATATATTTTTTGTTCATTGTTTTGTACCATAATAAGGCTGTTAGTTTTTTTTTTTTTAGGCTGTATGGTGACCTTTAGTTGATAATTTCTACATCATTTGGGTCTCTAGTGGAGAGTTGTTTCATTGGCAATCATACCACATCTTCTTATTTCTATAAAGCTTTCATTGAAATATTTTCATTACTTATATTTTTATGGTTTCTTTCTACTTTCTAAATACTAATCATTTTCTTTTGTATTTTGTGTGTCGTTGGATCACTGTCTGATGACAAATATCCATAGAACCTTTTTCTATATCAAATTCTACTTACATGAGAATTAATTTCTTCACCAATGGTAATTTTATCTGTACTCTGAAGTTTGACTCTTAGTAGTTTCACCAAAGGCTTTATTGTTATACCCTAAATTGAAAAGATATGAATTTACAAGTTATGATTTCCTTACTTTAACTACTTATCTAATTTTTCAATGCTGATGCTTTAATTTGAGTTTGATATTTTCTCATTTAGAAAAACGATTCTTTTAAAAAGGAGGTTTTAGACCCCATTCACACTAGCATTTTTTGAATCGATCTAAACAAAACCAGTTAGCCTTCACATAATCTTTAATCCTAACGATCACTATCGGTCTAATTCGAACCACTGCTTTCACACTACAAGAAAAAATGCAATCGATCTGACCTAATTACCGGGGGAATTGTAAACACTGTGTATAACATGTATAAATAGAAATATTTAATCAAATTATAATGTCTTGTTACACACACTTGCAAAAAAAATAATGGATTGCTTGACTTGAATTACAAGTTCAAATGTTGAGAATGCTGTTCGTATATTTTTAGCACTTTTATGTTGTTCATCCATTTTGTAATATGCACATGTAATTTTTCCGCCATATATGTGCAAAAATTATTTCCATTCAATCGTACTAGTTTAGATTAATCTCTGTGTTCACATATAAAGTTAGATCTGTTAACTTTAGATCGATTCAAACTAAACTACCTCTTTTGGTGTTTTAGTTTAAACCAATTAATGATCGATTCAAAGCGTTCACATGGGGCTCAATTCGATCTAAAGTGAACAGATCTAGTTTAAATCAATCTAAATGTCCAAGTGTGAATGGGGTCTAAGTCATATTGCGCTGATCTCAATGTAGTTGGTTATTTAGATCATGCTATCATTGATGATGTATTTTAGTTAACATTACTTGTTTTTTAAACAACAAATTTTGTTCTTGTGGATGAAAATAAAATTCAAATATCAACATTGTTTTTTTTCTTATCGTGCAATTAAAGTCTGATCTAATTTTGAGAATTTATATGATATGAGCCTGTATTTCTTTGCATTTTTTCATTTTCTTTTCAAACTGACTTTTACTAATTATAATTGTGATAAACCAAGAAAATTTTCAGATTATCAAAATAGTAGATCGATTGATGGCATTGTGACTGAGGTCTAAACAAATTATCAGTACAAACAGTGAAATTTTTTTTAACTTATTTAGAAATCTGATACAGAAGAACTTGTATTTGGTTAAAAATCAATTCACGATCATATTTTTCATTTATAAGAGTTAATGTTATATAGATTTAGTTATGCATTGTCCAAGGTACATTAATAGCATACCTGTACAAACACTGTGAAGAAAATAAGAACCATTAACGTTGTAGTAAACATTTCTTTGGGTAAATTCTTTGCCTTCAATAGATCCATTAAAGAGAAAGCTACAGCACCCCTAAGTCCACCATAGGCCTGAAATAATACACCCAATTACTAAGATCATGACATTAAGCATAAACACTTGTCTATTGTTAATCACATCTAAATGTCTTATGATTTTTTGTTCTTGGTTTCTGTCTCATCCATTCCTCTTTTTATCTATAATTTATCTGTCATTTTAAACTACTTCATTTTTGTCAAGCCTTCGACTTTAGTCGAAAAAGCAAGACATAGCGATCCTACATTCCATTGGCGTCGTCCACAAATATTCACTCTGTGGTTAAAGTTTTTGAAATTTTAATAACTTTCTTAAACTATCCTGGATTTCTACCAAACTTAGGCAGAAGCTTGTTTATGATCATAAGATAGTATCCAGAAGTAAATTTTGTAAAAATAAAATTCCATTTTTTCCGTATTTAACTTATAAATGGACTTAGTTTTTCTGCCAGGAAATATTACATTCACTCTGTGGTTAAAGTTTTTAAAATTTTAATAACTTTCTTAAACTATCCTGGGTTTGAACCAAACTTGGACAGAAGCTTGTTTATGATCATAAGATAGTATCCAGAAGTAAATTTTGTAAAAAAATAAATCCATTTTTTCCTTATTTTACTTTTAAATGGACTTAGATTTTCTGCCAGGAAACAACACATTCACTCTGTGGTTAAAGTTTTTAAAATTTTAATAACTTTCTTATACTATTTTGGATTTGTACCAAACTTGGACAGAAGCTTGTTTATGATCAAAAGCTAGTATCTAGAAGGAAATCTAAAAAAAAAAAATCCATTTTTTCCGTATTTTACTTTTAAATGGACTTAGATTTTCTGCCAGGAAACAACATATTCACTCTGTGGTTAAAGTTTTTAAAATTTTAATAACTTTCTTATACTATTTTGGATTTGCACCAAACTTGGACAAAAGCTTGTTTATGATCAAATGCTAGTATCTAGAAGGAAATTTTGTTTTCTTCCAGTTAACATTACATTCAGTCTGCAGTTAAAGTTTTTAAACATTTATTAGATTCAGAAACTATCCTGGATTTTTACCAAACTTGGACAGAAGCTTCTTACAATCAAAAGATAGTATCAAGAGGAATATTTTTATTGATTTACTTCCTCATTTTTGTTGAGCCTTCGATTAACAGAAAAAGTAGGCGAGACACTGGGTTCCGCGGAACCCTTACGAATATTTTTAAATGCTTCCAATATTTGATTAATATAGTGAGTGGGACAATTTTCAAACTTGCATTAGCAAATGGAATATGTAAATTAACTCGTAGATATAAAATTGAGAAGATGTCATATATTGTTTTGTTATTAATGAGGTCGTTAGTTTTCTCGTTTGAATTGTTTCACATTTTTCATTTCGGGGCCTTTTATAGCCCACTCTATGGTATGGGTTTTTCTAAGGCCCTACGTTGGCCTATAACTGCTTACTACCACTTCATTTTAACTCTAGTAGATAGTTGACTCATTTACAATCACACCACATTTCCTTAATTTATTTTACATTAAATGATTAGTTTCAAAGTCCAAGTAAATGTGTATGATATTGGAACAACGACAATGTTTTAATGGGTATGAAAAAGAATATCAATTCATAACTGCATTGGTACCACATTCCAACCTTAATAATCATACTTAATTTCAATAAATTACAAACAAAAAAAAAAGCCTACCATGATGAATTGTTCATCTTTACCAATTCTTCGGACTCTGTTGGACTTGTTTACAAAGTAAGTCAATAAAAATACAACTGAAATAACAAAAAAAAACTCCAGTAAATATATATCTCATTCAAATCCTTATGATGTAGTTCCTGAGAAAGCTGCGACGAAAAATATTCATGGGACGGATGAACGGACTGACTGATGGATGGACGGATGGATGGGTGGACAGAGGTAAAACAGTATACCCCCATTTTTTTAAAGCGGGGGTATAATTAACAATGAAAGAGAGATCTAGACAACCAGGTCAACATTTCAAACGTCTCACTCTAACAAAGATTTTTGTAGCAAAAGGAAGTCAATATTTGCCCTAGTTCTATGAAATTCAACTTCAGCAATTAATGTAAATATTTGATGAAAAAATATGTAAAAATATCTGACAAATACGAATTTAACAAGCTCTGATGTATTTCAACAGTTATGATGTCATACATGAAATCATTATGACCAATATTTTGCTTAATTTTAAACAATTTTGTTTTGGTGACATTGGTCACATCCATGGACCACCATAACTTTTTATAAGGATGTGAATTTCATCATACATGTAAAAAGAAGATTGCCAATAAGACAACTCTCCACAAGAGACCAAATGACACAGAAATTAACAACTATAGGTCACTGTACAGCCTTCAACAATGAGCAAAGCCCATACCGCACAGTCAGCTATAAAAGGCCCCGAAATGACAAATGTAAAACAATTCCTATACACCTAATTATAACAAATTATTTTTGCTGAAGGGTCTGGCCAGAGGAAATTGACCTTAAAATAGCACTTAAACTGGACAAATGCCTGAAAACTGGGAAAATACCATGCATTAGAAGTAATTAAACTTGTTGAAAACAAACCCTGGACAGCTAATTTGTCTAGTTTATCTCAAAATGCATTAATTAGATAGTAAAATTCTGGTTTTACGTAAATTCTGGTTTTAGATATGATATCATAAAGTCCAAATTTGAAACTAAGTTTAGGCCTTCTTGGCCCTATTTTACTATTATGTCATTTCAAACCAGTTTTTGGATTAATTAGAAATAGTGAAAATCCAATGAAATTAAATGCTCCAAATTAATTGACTGAAGATAATTAATGTGTCTTGTCATGTTTTAATAAAATTATTCCTTTTATCAAACATGAAATGGCTGTTTCATTGCAAACTTCATGAATAGATAATGGCCCATCTTCAGTCTAAAAGCTAAAACAGTCCTGATGCACAGAAAATCAAATACCAGTACAAATTTAATGTCTAAATTATCTCTGAAGAAATTTTTGACATTTAAGAAACTAATCTAACTAATTTTCAGTGAATGATTTAACTAAGTTTAAAATGTTGATGGGTAATTCTATGTCTGATTACTTAAAAATCAATAAAATTTTTCCGTCTTATAAAATTATTCTCTGATGAACCATTTCTATTAATTACATATCTCACTGTCACTGTATATTAAATTACTTCTTATTCAGACCTGACTGGTGGATAAAGTGACTAAATGAATAGATATGTTAAAGGGTGACCTATTTTTTATCTCCACATATGAATTGATGAATGTAATTCTCTAGGATGACAGCTATCATACAAAAATACAATGCTTCAGATTGATAAAATTCTCTGGGATGACACAAATCATACAAATATACAATGCATCAGATTGAGAAAATCCTCAGAGATGACACCAATCAAACAAAAATACAATGTTTTACATTGAAAATTTCCCCACCAATCTTGTAAAATAAACCTCTGAAGTCATCGGAAGTAAACTTCAATATGCACATCACAAAAAAATTCAGTTTGTAGCTTAGTTAGAGCAACTGATTTCTCAAAACATCCTACAAAAAATGTACTTCATACTTGTTCATGTTGTTAGTCATGAATATCTTAGTTTAATCTAATAGTCAGTTTCAGACATATGATGATTTGTGAAAAAAGCTGTGCAGATTGCAATAAACAATTAATTTCCCCATAGGCGACAATGATAGCCTTTTTCGAGATACAGACTTTAGAAATTGATTTTTTTTAACAAAACCTTGCTTAAATTCAAGAAAAATTATTCGGACAGTATTTTTTGGTCCAAAAAATATAGGTTCTTCTGGCTTTTCGTATCGTAATTTGTACTTATCTACCTTGCCTATCAATTTTGCACTTAAAAACACGTGTCTCATTCTAGCGTTGAAAAGACATCTCAGTTCCGTTAGGGCTAAGGAAAATATATTATTTTGCCTTTGGTGTAATGCAGAGTGCATGAAGTCTCTAATAACAAAAAATAATGGGTGCACATATCGACCAATCAGAATTAGCCATACTCTTAATTCTGAATACCATGTATCTTCATAAAATGGCTGCGCCCATAAAATCTAATGGTTTATTGTAACCTGCAGGTATTATTTTTACTCCAGCTTTCATATAAATTATCACCCCAAAAAAAACCACACCAATAAAAAGTGACTAAGTCCAGTAAAAACTCTAAGCTAAAGGATAAATACCCACCTAAAAATCTATACAGCAAACAAAGAACAAGCGTCCATATAATAAACCATGGATTCCAGTTCTCACGTTCAAACATTCCCTTTTTAAACAGAGCTATACCCAGGAATACAAATATTATACAATCACTGATGGAACTGAAAAAAAAAAAATATCAGATAAATTCTTAAAATACATACATATAAACTAAATAATCAAATAAGATGTATCCATCAATTCATTTCGTTACTTTCAGAATTGTTAACAAATTGATGAAATAACTTCAAACAAGTTCCAGATACATCTTATGGTTCTCTCCATAACATTAAAACAATTTGTTAAATTTCTGCAAGCATGTTATTTCCATTCATTTTAATATCATAGTTTTTATCCAACCTGTTATAAGAAAAGCCATTTACATTTCCAAGACTATCAAAGAGACTATCTCATTTAAGCTTCTTGTTTCTACATACATATCTATCTAGGCGTTGATCAGTTTGAAAATAAACTGATGCAGTTACTAATTCAAATTATATAAACGACTAAGAATGTAGCTTTAACATGCTAAGAGTGTTATAAAAATAGTTGTTATATTTTATATATTTACACAATATTTCGCTAAACAAATTAGCTTCATTAGGCGCATGCAGCCATCCAGGTAAAATCGGATGGTGTTAATAAATTTTTGCAGCTTATCGTCCATGTATTTAAATATATTTTTGCAGCTTATTGTACATTGCGATAAATAGATCAAAACAAATAATTGTGTAAGTTAAATAGTATGAAGTTCAAGAATTATTGCTTTGGTTTTTGATAAAACTGTTTTTCATCTCTCGCATTCAATCCATCAGGTTCAAGAGAACGTAGCTGATGCATCCAAAATCTCTCTCTCTACTTTGGGTGTCCTAATTTTGGTTTACCTCTATTATTTGAAAGGTGATATTTTCAAAACTATGTCCTGTTCTTAAGAGGTGTCTCGTAATAGGGCATTTTCTTCCTTTGGTATAAAATTCGTAAGGGTTCCGCGGAACCCAGTGTCTCGCCTACTTTTGCTGTTAATCGCAGGCTCAACAAAAATGAGGAAAAAAAATAATAACAATATTCCTTTCAATACTATCTTTTGATTGTAAGAAGCTTCTGTCCAAGTTTGGTACAAATCCAGGATAGTTTATGAATCTAATAAATGTTTTAAATCTTTAACTGCAGACTGTATGTTATGTTAACTGGAAGAAAAACTAAGTCCATTTATAAGTAAAATACGGATAAACAGGTACAAAATTTTAACAAAATTTCCTTCTAGATACTAGCTTTTGATCATAAACAAGCTTCTGACCAAGTTTGGTACAAATCCAGGATAGTTTAAGAAAGTTATTAAAATTTTAAAAACTTTAACCACAGAGTGAATGTAATGTTTCCTGGCAGAAAAACTAAGTCCATTTATAAGTTAAATACGGAAAAAAAATAGAATTTTGTTTTTTAAAAATTTACTTCTGGATACTATCTTATGATCATAAACAAGCTTCTGTCCAAGTTTGGTAGAAATCCAGGATAGATTAAGAAAGTTATTAAAATTTTAAAAACTTTAACCACAGAGTGAATGTAATGTTTCCTGGCAGAAAAACTAAGTCCATTTATAAGTAAAATACTGAAAAACAGGATATTTTTGTTACAAAATTTACTTCTGGATACTATCTTATGATCATAAACAAGCTTCTGTCCAAGTTTGGTAGAAATCCAGGATAGTTTAGAAAGTAATTAACGCTATGTCTCACTTTTTCGACAAAAGTCGAAGGCTCGACAAAAATGAAAGGTGATTATTAAGCCCAATGTTGAATTTAGTTTGTTTCACTAACATATTGCAGTTTGAAAGTTCCACAAGTAAGATATATATAACATTTTTTTCTACTATGAAACAAGTTTATTACATGTTTTTGTACATCATTCTTTTTTATGCTTTGCTGTTATACATGTAAAAAAAAAAGTTTTTCTTAAAAAAAAATCATCCTGTATTTTTATTGACAAAATACTACCCCATTTACCTTATCTTTTAAATGAGCTATATTTGTTAACTTCTACGTCCATTGGTCTGCTGGAGATTTGTCTCATTAGCAATCATACCACATCTTCTTATTCTATATAACATACCTTTGCATTTTACTGAAGTATTTAACAGTTGTATGAGACTTTGTAGATATGTTGTGGAATGCATACTGTGCCTGTGTTAGTCCACATGCTATAAGGCTGTAAAACAGAATAAAGTAATTCAATAGATTGTAATTAAAGAATTACTTTGAGCTACAGCTATGAATACACGGAGATGGTTCAAGATGCGCTATACATTTCAGGTAGGCGGTAATGGTAGCCTTTTCCTCAATTCCTCTGCTCATATCATAAACTTGGATATGTATGATGGCTCGTTTTGAAGCTGAGACATTTTCACATATGTGGTTAAATTTTTGGGGTATGAAGTAGGATTCATTTTTTCATAATTTAGCACACCCCAAATAGCCATTTATGATGTGGCTTCTCAAGGTAAAAAATACCTTTTTTCACACAAAAAGTTCTTTGAAAATTTAGTTCTTTGCATACATTCAATAACTCCATAGTTTTTACAACTTTATTATATGGTCCTCTGTTCTCCAAAGCAGCACTAATAATTAAGCTCAGTTACTTGCTTAATATTGAAACATGTCCAATATCACTGCACAGAGATATTTTGTTTTCACACTATTTTTGAGTTCCTCAATTTGAAGCACATTAGGGATATTGAACAAGATGTAAGGTAAACCTTAATGAACAGCAACCCAATGACACAAATAAACCAAACACTTTTAATTCATCTTATATCTATGATGTAGATTTAGGAGTATCAGTGCAAAAACTGTTGGCGTGGACAGGAAATAATGTTATCAGGTAGGTAGGGTCACATGTCTGACTGTGGATTGTACCTAATGCCAATACAACATTCCTATCACATTTTTTTTTTTGTTATTGAGAGAATTTGTTATAGATCTTTCACAATGTTTTAGGACTCTGGATGTTTTAGAGCCTCACACATTGTATAGACATCTGCCTTTAGTTGAAGATATCTTTTGGTTATTTGTTTTGTTGGGTTTCTGGCTCATTAAAATAATTTCCTGTTATTCATGTCAAAAGTAACCTGACATTCCCAATTACCATTTCTATGTATATATATATATATATATCATAGTAAATTTGATTACGGAAAGCTGAGAGACATGCTTCAGAAACATTGATTAGTGCTAACCTGATTGCTGGGAGAATGAAATGAATGCTAAATTAAACATGTCAAAGATTCTTCTTCAAATGACATCTGTCCCATATTCTATAGACTCCATAAAGTATTTTCATGAATTTTTCAATATAATTGAGGTATCAGAAACATACAGCCTGTTGTCATGGTTAGAAATGTTGGATACTATTGCATTATAATAAATTGTGTTCCTAAATTGACCGTATACTGTAACTAACTAATTAGTCACTGTTTCTAAAGTTTGATCGCTGTAGTCACGACATCTGTACTTCCATTCCAATATTTTTATTGATCACATGATCTATCATAGTGTAGATGGCTTAATTGCAAATTCAGTATTTCTGTGACATGAATTCAACTATATTGCCATTACATCAAACTCTGTAGCACTTAATTAGCAAGTAAAATTATTGCATGTTCAATTCAGTACATGTATAATAAATAATTGCCTGAATGGAAATTAATTCAATTAAATTATATGATTTTGTCCTTGATTTCATTTCTTTGCCATGGTTTTTAAACTTTTATTTTATAAATTCAATATTAAGATTTTTTTTTAACACTTTTCTTCCACTTTTAGAGCATCTCTTATTCGTGACAAAATGACTGCCAAATTAGAAGAAGTTATAACTAGGCAATACAGAACGTCTAATTGTATTATTATTGGAATAGTTGATTCAGACAATAAAATATTATTTACCTTATAATTCCTGAGAAATGAAAGAGTTCAGCCATTAGATATGACATGTAGGCCAACACAAATACTGATAATGGTTCTATCACTGCAAAACACAAATAAATATCATAAATATATACTACTTTCTGGTATGTTCTTTCAGACTGGGCTTGAATTAGTGGTGTTACACCTTTATACAACAAGCTTGTACCACATCCACCATATTAGCATATCTATATCATGCACTCTACCACAAGGGCTGCATGGGAGACAAAAGCTAATGGTGTCACTGTTGCTAGATTTTTTCTTATTTATTGGGGTCATAGTTTTAATTTCTGTATTAATTAAGTGATAATGCCAATTTTCTTTTCCAATTTAATTAATTTTTGCCACAATGTCAACATAATCTATTTGAAAGAAAAAGAAAAATGCACTTCTATATATAAGTAAAATTACATTTGAATTTTATGGTCTTGCCTATACATTAGTACATATATAAATTGGAGATTGGGGGTGTAAACATCAATGAGACAGCAACCCATACACATAAACAACCATAAAGATATCTAGAAGTCAGTCAACACTCAACAAATACACCAGCATTTATTAAACATGTCTAGCTCTGCATTGTCTGGTCTAAAACATGTAAAGCTCTGCATTGTCTGGTCTAAAACATGTCAAGCTCTGCATTGTCTGGTCTAAAACATGTCTAGCTCTGCATTGTCTGGTCTAAAACATGTCTAGCTCTGCATTGTCTGGTCTAAGACATGTCTAGCTCTGCATTGTCTTGTCTAACACATGTCAAGCTCTGCATTGTCTGGTCTAAAACATGTCTAGCTCTGCATTGTCTTGTCTAACACATGTCAAGCTCTGCATTGTCTGGTCTAAAACATGTCTAGCTCTGCATTGTCTGGTCTAAAACATGTCAAGCTCTGCATTGTCTGGTCTAAGACATGTCAAGCTCTGCATTGTTTGGTCTAAAAAATGTCAAGCTCTGCATTGTCTGGTCTAAAACATGTGCAATTAAAAAGAAACAATCAAAGATCTGCCTTCAACACAAAATCCTACAAATAATAAAAACAAACATTTATAGCATTGCATGAGGTTTCACATAATTTATCTAAATTACACCCATCCAGATATTCTATCTGAAGATGAATTCCAATTTGTATTACAATGTGAATGCTATAGAGATTTAAGGAGGCAGTTTTTTAAACCTTATTATTATAGGCCTCCATCATTGTTCAGATTAGTTCAACTTCTCCGCACTGAAAATGTCAAAGATTTGCGTAATTTGTGTAAATTCTTATTTAATGCACTTAATCATAGGACTGAACTGTTAGTGAACAATAATTGATGTTTATATGCCATTTTATGTAATAAATATGTTTTGTATTTATTCTTGTACTGATAAGCATAATGTGCTTAAAGTAATAAAGAATTGAATTGAATTGACTAACTGATGTAAAATAGATTACTCTGTGTACTAATTGATTGATAAATTATCAATGATTTAATCACGACTATATTTCTGTAGTAAGATTGTCAGTTATTATGAAGCATAGATTCCTGAAGAAATTTGAGGTATTGTGTAAATTAAATATAAATGTATCAATAAGGATAGAGTGAATTTGACAATTTTTCAGAATTACAAAGTTATAAATGAACTATTCATTGGTGATCATTTCTCTTAATCATTCTGTACATGTTAATAAGTTTCAAAATATGTTTTCCATGAAAGGTCACAGCATGTCTTTAAAATGATATTCATCAGAAAGTTTTCTTTGTCATGGAAATAAAAGTCTCATGGGAAACATTTGATTGATACCAGCTATAACAAGATATATCAATGGGATGGGAAATTTCTCTGCAAAAATAATTTTTAAGAAAACTTTATATATATTTATCAATAAAAAGGATTTTAAGAACAAGTACATATTATTTTCACTAACGTATGTGTATTCTTAAAGAAAAAAAAAAATAAACTCAGTATTTCACTAATTTTTTTACAATAATCAAAGAGAAGAATTACTGTTTTGTCTTAAGATTAGGCCACTTCATTTGTGACAACTTCTTTTGTATATATAAAATTCAAATGCACTCTTAGTTGTCTTCAAATGAGGCAAGTGAATTTACTTGATTTTACCCTAATAAGGTTATATACAGACCAATAAAACAGTCAAAATTAACAATCATTAAGAAGATGAAAGGTCATTTGTAACACTTACCTCTCACATGCTCTGTATATTTGGTAATTACTGCTGTTATCATACCAAACACCACACCAATGGCAATACCTCCAAAACTTACTACGAAGAAACTTACAATGCCTAAAAATACCTGAAAAATATTTAAAATATTCGGTATTACTATGCAAATCAAAAACTAGCATAAAATTTTCAAGTAACCTGACTAAAATCTGCATTTAAATGGTATCTGAAGAGAAAATATTTCAGAGGAAGTTGTCATCAATCAGAATCCTAAAGGAATACTAATTCTTCATTTCTACTTTCAATTGCAGAGGTTATCTTTATTGCCAAGAAAGTATTCACAAATCAACATTCTAATATAAAATTTTTAATATTTGAGGACATCTTTAACAGATTATGAAATGCTATTTTTAATGTGTCTTTTCCCTGAAACTTATTTTGTTTACTGACTTATTCATCTGTGGACATGGTACCTCTTGTTATTGGAATGTATGCTAGAAATAAGGTTAACATTTTTTTATCCCTCTATACAACAGCAGCTAATGCATTCTTCTGTCTGAACTGCATGTCCCCACTAATATTTATGCCATCTGGGTTTTTCCTCATGAGACCTGCCAGTCAGACATCTAGATCTTATAAATATTCCATACACCAAAAACCATTGACCTATTGGTGATAGTATCTGATATACAGAAGTGACCATGAAAACTTAATCTTGATCACTGATCCATGAAATGAGGTCAAGGTCAGGTGAAGCCAGTCTGACAGACATGTAGACCTTGCAAGGATCCCATGTACCAAATATAGTTATCCTATTACTCATAATAAGTGAGTTTTTCACTTGACCATAAAACTTAATATTTGTCTTAAGCAGTTGGTGAACCATGAAAATGAGGTCAAGGAAAATGTATATCTGACAGGTATGACTTAGTTCTCTATCACTAACCTCGGAAACAGGAATTTCAGGTTTCATCAGATTAAAAGTTTTCATCATGTTATATATAACTACAGTCACAGCATCTGAAATAAGATATGTATTTAATTAAGTTGAATGTATTGGATTCAGTAAAAAGTAGAAAAAGAATTTAAAGGTAACAAACACTAAGCAGACACTAGTGTTTTAACATTCCTAATCTACACCTTACCAATAATTATTTGACCAACTATCAATGGATTTATTTAACTTTTTTGTTTTTTGTTTTTTTATTTATAATTTAATATAAAGACATAATGGTATACAGATGGTTTTCATCTATAATTAGAGAAACTAAAGAGAATAAAATTGAGAATGGAAATGGGGAATGTGTCAAAGAGACAACAACCTGACCATAGAGCAGACAACAGCTGAAGGCCACCAATGGGTCCCCAACACAGCGAGAAACTCCCACACCCGGAGGCGCCCCCCAGCCGGCCCCCAAACAAACATGTACACCAGCTCAGTGACAATGGAAGTCACACTAAAGTATAAACCATACACAAGAAACTAAAACCAAAAAAGATACAAGACCAACAAAGGCCAGAGGCTCCCGACTTGGGACAGGCGCAAAAATGCGGCGGGGCTAAACATGCCCCTTGAGATCCCAACCCTCCCCCCACACCTCCAGCCAATGTAGAAAAAAACAAACGTACAACAGTACGCACAGTAAAACTCAGTTTAATAGAAGTCCGAGTCCGATGTCAGAATAGGAAACAAAAGAAAATAAACAAAATGACAATAACACATAGATAACAACAGACTACTAGCAGTTACTGACATGCCAGCTCCAGACCTCAATTAAACTGATTGAAAGATTATGTCTTCATCATATGAATATCAGGCACAATTATCCATTAATCTGATAAGAATACAGATCCTGTGTCCATGCTTTTCTTTCAAATATCTGACAACTCTTTCTCTTTCTTCTAAAGAGACCTTTCAATCAAATGGTTTTGTTTTAATGGTACACACTTTCAAATTCTGAAATTTATTGGTTGATGTTGTATAGAACAGATCCTTGTAAGCCAAGAGTGGACACATGATCTGAATCGAATAACTAAAATATTCAAAAAATGGCCCCAAACAACAAATCAATTCAAGAATTCATATTTTATGTTTTGTATTGTAGAGGACTTTTTTTATTACTGTGAAGTCTTTATCTTTTGTTGGGTACCAGTTTTCATAGATTTTATAGGTATAGATGAACCACACATTTAAAAATCAAATAAAATAAAAATTTCCTTATGGCTTGAAATCAAGTATGATCCATAAAAATACTATTCTTCAATCCATGGAAATAGGTACCTTAAAATTTCATTATGTATGTATGTATGTATGCAGCCAGTTTTATTGGTGGAGGAAAGCAGGAGTGCCTGGAGAGAACCACTGACCTTTGGCAGGAAAACTGACAATACTAGTCAATTTCGATTGGAGTCAAAGCACCTGCCTTTTTTTTCATTTTGTCATTTGTTGTAGAATACTCTAGTTCAGGGAAAGCTTGTTCGCGACCTAGAATTCTGAGTGGGTCAAGTGTTTAATTAAAATTCATGCGAGAATATGCGAGATTTGGATGAACTGGGGGCAAAGTAATTTGGTACAAATCAATATTCGATGTTAAGGACGCCCGCATTTTTCCCGTTTACCTGTGAAGTTGTTGAGTGTCATCTGTTTTTTTGGTTTATATTTATATTTAATAAAGTAAAAAAAATATTGTGAAGAATTTCGAGACCTTGTGTTTGAAAATTACGGGAGAAAATTGGGAAAGAAATTTGAAGGAAACTTGAAATTTACCTTGCAAATAACCAAAACGAAATGTTTGATAAAGAAGGAACGAGGGCCTACAAGTCCCTGGAAGCTTCCAAGAACTTTGAGGAAGTTTATGTGCAGAAATATCATCTTTGGAGATTGAGAATAATTTCCTGATACATGCTGACGTAATGGCATTAATTGCCAAAACAGTATGTCATTCAACGGTGACACTAAACATAATTTATTCTCTATGGCATGTGTCATGCGGATATAGATAAACAATTTAACCCATATGATTGTCATGTAAAACGGAGATTTTTTGAAAAGTTGTTGCTGGTCATAACACAAGGTCGATATCATGAATGATATTATGCGAAGTATTCAATAAAATATAACCATGGATTCATAAATGTTATGATTTCAATATTGTATAAATAGTCTGATCGTTTAACCTTGGAACAGTAAATACGTTCCTTGTTCAACCCATAATCAAAAAGTTCCCATAAAAACAAACAGCTACAGGTCGTCGTATGGAATTAAACTCTTAGCAAAAAAGCCACACCCACTTATAAGCTATACAATGTCTTGACTCGGACTGTTGCATTTTGAACAAACAAGTGAAAAGTCCAGCGCAATATAGAACAAAACAGTTTCAACATTCATATATCATTATCATGATTTTGACCTGCATGGATATACATTTAACTTGCAACTGGACGATTATACAAAACGGTTATTGATGACTGCATGAAAAACTTTAACCTCAGACAAAACCTGAATATAACTGTTAAGAAAAAAACGAAGTCCATCCAGTAGTAAAATACGGAAAAATGAAAATAAATATTTGCAAATTTTTGCCATGGATACTGTATTTTTGACATAAAGAAGCTTCTGTCCCAATTTCCCGAAATTCCATTATGTTTGACAAAGATTTTGATGTAAAACAAAACTTTAACCACAGACTGAACCTAAATACTGACGTAGTCGGCGTTAACGCTGGCGACGGAATCTAGGATCGCCAAGTCTCGCTTACGCGAAATAAATTTCGCAAGCTTGACAAAAAAGAAGGATGTATGTCAAAAAATCCATGTAGGCCATTATTTCACTCATAAATCTTGAAGATCTTGCTTTCGACAAGACGACAATCATTGTTTTGTTTTTGTGTAGGGGGGGGGGTGGTACTTTTTTCTAAATTAATTGTAATATTACAATATTTTTTTCACATTTATTATCATTTTTCTACCTATTCACGTGAATTTTCTGACACAAAAATAAATATACAACAGCACTGTTCATTAAAAGTATGTAATCAAATGCCTAACTATATATATGTGTGAAAATTTACTTTCTGAAGATATAAAAAAATATATAAAGTATCTTTTATTCTGCTTAAGATCTTATAAAATCTCATTGAAATTAATGTGAAATTAATTAGATATTCTGCATACTATATTATGTATGCTTCACGATAAGACAAGATAAAATGATGAACGACCCAGATCCCCCTCCTTTCAAAATTGTCAATATCTGATGCATTTGAATTAAGCACAACAATACCTTTATGTAAATTTAATGCACGCATGCAATCGGGGCTAGTATTTTGAACATATGTTTTAACGGTAACTGTCAGAACATAATTATAATTATTAAGGGTATATTAATTTTGTCCAACTGTCGCCTGGTGAGATTAATAGTTTAAGGTAAAACTTTATGATACCATATGACCTAGGTGTTGATTGACTTTTATTTTTATGACCTAAGATATGGTAATGATAATCATAAAAATATATTGAATATATCTGCTAAGTGAACATCACAGCATGAATCTGTCCATTTTTGCGTGAAGTTGACACGCAAAGTCAGGTGACATATCAAACCGTTTCTTTTGTAATTAAGATTAATTAACATAGCAGTCAAAATAGTCTGTTTTAATCTGTCAGTGTAATCAATCACTTTTTATAAAAAATCTGATGACAGTAATAACGATGCCGATCTGATAAATCAATAAACTGATAATGCCCCCAGTTCATCAAATCTCGTATCTAATCAGTCGATAACGCAAAATCACGATCGATCTTGCACATGCGCATTGTTTCCCTGAACTAGAGTATTAAAAAAAAAACATTTGCAAAACAACAAAATAAAACATAACTTATTGTTCTTATTTTTGAAACATTTAAGGTTTTTGTAATTTTGATAAAACGAAAGGTTATTTTGAAAATTTCATTAACTAATATTTATCAGAAGAAAACAATTAAATATTGTATATTATTGATAACTTGACAATACTGTCTATGTTAGTAATTAATCTGAGGAATTGAATATAAAACTTTGACACTTATGTCCCTAGCTGTTATTAAAACTTGTGACAATACAAAAAACAAAAACAAAAAAACAAACAAATCTGGCCAGACCTATACAAATTTTTCTTGGCTTGCTTCATAAATGTTCTGCTATTAATACTAATTGCTCTTCCATAATGATAAAACTTGTGAAGATAACAGCATCTTTCAGAACAAAAGTTCCAAGTTCAGTTTATTGGTAAATTCAATTTACTATTAATGTAATCACCATGGTTTTCACACGAAATCTAGTTACTAGGATAATTTGGAAGTGATTGATTATTGGTCAGCAGTAAAATTTTGTCAGCTGAACAGAATTTGATTCCAGTTTACAGTCATGAAAGCCACATAATTAAAGCTTTGGCAAATTGCCTAGAAACGTAAATTTCTAACCTATCTGACATTTTGCTTCAATGGTGAAACTTTGCTTAAAAGGAAACTGGAATGTGTGACATATCAGTTGTGATGCTTAATCATCACAATTATATTTCTCTCAAATCAAAACAAATGAACTAAACGTGCCTAACTTAAATAACTGTTGATGGAGTGTGCACTTTAATTTACAGAATAAGTCCATAATGATCTGCTATTAACCCTAAATTCCACAGCCTATAAAGAAAACAATCAACATGACTTGTTCACTGTCATACTTATAATTGATGATATCAAGTGGAAAATTTGCTTAAAATGATTGTATTAACACTTTTAACGTCTAAAAATGAATTAGTCTGTCATATATGAGGTTATCATTTGATGCTACATTAAATCTACTCTATTATGTAAAGAAAAAAATGATAGTTTGCTCTTTGAATACAATCATTTGCATTGATCTTCTGAGACTACAATCTAGTCATTTCTAAGGCAATATAAACCACAAATAAAAGATAACATATAAATAACACACATCTATGTATTGACATTTATAAAGCCAATTTCGCTTACAGAATGGAAAA